GTTTTGCGCCATTTATGGTTACTCAAATCGAACAAACCACAAGGAGTTTTTATCGTGTACCAAACGTTGTTGTTCATAAGGGGGGAAAATGCAAGAAACGCCGAAAAACGTCTTGCAAACCTATGTCTGCGGTCGGCAGGAGACGAATGGAAAAATGCCCGTGTATGCAGTGATCACTTCGTCAAAGGTGAGTTAATACAAGTTAAGTGGCTATGTTTGTGTAATGTGTAACGTTTCCGAACTTTGTAAAGTCAAACTATATCTGTTAGACGAGGTAGTTGCTGATATCTACCGCTATTGTTGCTTTGCACAGTGCGTGACATTTTATCAACATGTAAAGCGGCTATGAGTCAATGGGCTCTGTCTAATTCTTTCTTTTTGGCTTGTTTATCGTCATCATTTTTGCCTTTTACTTGTCTTTGCTTTATGAGCAGGTGCCACCCGAAAAATTGGCAGTTTAGGTTGTTTCTCTGCCATTAGCACAGCTGCAGCACACCGGCAATCTTGAATTTGGTTTGACCGACGGCGCGCTGCGCAAGAGAGGGGTGTGATCAGCGCGTACACGAGCGTGATTGACAGTGCTAAGACACTTCTCCTGGCTCTGATTGTTTGTTTCTGACCGGGAGTGGTGTATTTCTGCAAATGGCAATAGGACCACTGGGTGAAGCCAGAGGAGTTTTTTCACAGATTATCTGTTTCATAGTCTACTGTCAGGACATAACGACAGTTTTAACAAATATGTAAAAAAATATATATATATTTGTTTACAAAAGTTACCAACTGCAGCTTTAAAGACAGTTGACAGAGCTGTATAGAACTAGCATGTTGTCCTTCTTAAGCGTGGGCCAAAATTGTAACGATGAGGCAAGGACGAATCCAAATGGAGTAACTAATTTTAAGAATGGCACTTTTCATGGCAGATGCGTCCAACGTGATACCTTTTGGCCTCTTGCACATGAGACCGTTACAGTGGTGGCTCAGAACCAAGGAATTCTCCCCGAGGGGAAATCCGCTTTGCATGATCGTGAGTTCGCGACGGTGTCATCGTGCCCTGATCATGAGGAAAGATACTTGGTTTCTGTCCCAAGGCCCTGTGTTAGGAGCTCCTTGTCGTTGCGCTATGCTAACGACAGATGCCTCTCTCACGGGTTGGGGGGCGATCATGGATGGTCACCCGGCTCAGGGTCTGTGGAAGGGCCAACATCGTCTGTGGCACACAAATTGCCTAGAGATGTTGGCGGTGTTCAGGCTCTGAAACACTTCCTCCCAGACCTAAGGGGCCACCATGTTCTTGTCCGGATAGACAACACATCGGTGGTCTCTTATCAACCATCAGGGGGGTCTGCGTTCTCGTTTACAAACTGACATGTCAGATCCTTCTATGGTCCCAGGCGGGGTATTTAAAGGGTTAGTTCACCCAAAAATGAAAATTAAGTCATTAATTACTCACCCCCATGCTGTACCAACCCCGTAAGACCTTCGTTCATCTTCGGAACACAAATGAAGATATTTTTGATTAAATTTGAGAGCTGTATAACTACCACATTGGCTCCTAAAGGACTGCCTCTTGACGGCCCAGAAAGTCAATGAAGAAAATGTTTAAATATCCCAAGTGACTACCGTGGCTCAACTATATGTTTATCAAGCAACGCGAATACTTTTTGTGCGAAAAAACAAACAAAAATAACGAGTTTATTCGACTATTTCTTTTCTTCCTTGTAGGCCAGAACGAGACTTCCTTAGATTTCCACGACGCATGCGCGAGAATTGCGATCTGCTTACACCAGCTTACACCACTTCAGATCGCAATTCTCGCGCATGCGTCGTGGAAATCTAAGGAAGTCTCGTTCTGGCAGTTATACAGCTCTCAAATTTGATCAAAAATATCTTCATTTGTGTTCCGAAGATGAACGAAGGTCTTACGGGGTTGGTACAGCATGGGGGTGAGTAATTAATGACTTAATTTTCATTTTTGGGTGAACTAACCCTTTAAATCAGGGGTGCAGACATCCTGTCAAGACAGGGGCCGAGGCCCGGGGAATGGAGTCTTCACCCCGAGGTGGTGGAACTCCTTTGGAAACATTTCGGTCGTGCCGAGGTAGATCTATTTGCTTCTCGAGAAACATCACACTGTGCTGTGGTTCTCTCTTAGCCATCCAGCCCCGATGGGGTTGGATGCGCTGAACACATCCGTGGCCGAGGTCACGTCTGTACGCATTTCCCCCGATCGCTGTGCTCCCGGGAGTTCTGGAGAGGGTTCGCCGGGACGGGCTCAGTCTTCTGCTAATTTCCCTGTTCTGGCCGGCTCGAGTGTAGTTTGCAGACCTAATGTTTCTCCTCGACGGTCCCCTGGAGATACCGATCAGGAGAGACCTACTCTCTCAAGTGAGTGGGTTGATCCTTCACCCCCGCCCAGAACTATGGAGACTGTGGGCTTGGCCTCTGAGGGGGCCCTGCTCATAGCTTCTGGTCTCTCGACTGAGGTTGTTGAAGACCATCCTCCAATCCAGAGCTCCTTCCACGAGGAAGTTATATGCCGCGAGGTGGAAACTTTTCACTTCTTGGTGTGGAGAGCACCAGCAGGACCCAGTTAACTGCCCAGTTGGTACAGTGCTGGATTTCCTGCAGGACCGTCTCTCCACTAGGTTATCCCACTCCACACTGAAGGTGTACGTGGCGGCCTTAGCTGCTTACCACGCCCCTTCAAGTGGAGGTTCCCTAGGGAGACACCCACTGATATCTCGCTTCCTTCGTGGCACCTTGAGGCTGAGGCCTGCAGTTTGTACGAGGGTACCAGCTTGGGATCTGGCCATCGTCTTAGAAGGTCTCTCCCTAGCTCCTTTCGAGCCCTTCGAGGAAGTTTCGGAAAAGTTTCTTACTCTAAAGACTATCCTTATTCTATCTCATCTCTAAAAAGAATAGGAGATATTCAAGCACTTTCGGTGGCTCCCTCGTGCCTGGAATTTGCTCCTGGTTCGGTTAAGGCCTTTCTCTGTCCGAGAACAGGTTATGTTCCTAAGGTACTAACTATTTCTGTCAGAACTATAGTTCTGCAGGCTTTCCATCCTCCGCCTTTTCTGGCGTCTAGAATAGGAGATATTCAAGCACTTTCGGTGGCTCCCTCGTGCCTGGAATTTGCTCCTGGTTCGGTTAAGGCCTTTCTCTGTCCGAGACCAGGTTATGTTCCCAAGGTACTAACTATTTCAGTCAGAACTATAGTTCTGCAGGCTTTCCGTCCTCCGCCTTTTCTGGCGTCAGACCAGGAGAAACTTAATTTGCTGTGCCCCGTTAGGGTGTTAGATGCTTATGCCCACAGAGCTATCTTGTGGAGAAGATCGGAACAACTGTTTGTCTGTTCTTGGGTCACCTAAGCAAGGGTGTCCTGCATCTAAGCAAAGGATGAGCAAGTTGGTGGTCGAGGCCATCTCGCTTGCTTACGGTTCGGCCCATCAGCCTTCACCTTTGGCTGTAAGGGCTCATTCCACCAGGATTATGGCTGCCTCTACAGGAGCTTCTCTTCAGGACGTTTGTGATGCGGCAGGCTGGTCCTCACCGCACACTTTCATCAGGTTTTTTATTCCCTTGACCTTAGCTCCACTCCCAGGGCTCAGTTTCTCTCGTCGGTTTGTGTCTCCTAATGACACACGACATGGATTTGGTCGTATGGGGATGTGGGTATTGCGTTCCCACTGCGATTACACGCAGCGGTAGTCCCTGAAGGGGAACGTCCCGGGTTACGTATGTAACCCTAGTTCCCCGAAGGGACGGACGCTGCGTGTCCTGCCATTCTCCCGGCACTCCCTTGGGTCGCTTGCTTCAGTAACTTTAAGCTGGCGGCTTGTGTGCTCAGGGGATAATTATAGCTTCCTGGTCGATGACGTCACTCGCAGTATGCTCATTCTCTCCATTGACTGATTTCATTCATGCTTCAGACACGTCACACTGAGGGCGTTCCCACTGCGATTACACGCAGCGTCCGTCCCTTCGGGGAACTAGGGTTACATACGTAACCCGGGACGTTTTGAAGCCATAAGTAATGACACAAATTTCCGAAACTAGGGGGCGCTATAACGTAAGAAATCCTAATAATGCAAGTGTGAGAAGTTTGTAAATAATTTTTTATGACTAGACTCAGAAAAGAAAAGAAGAGAGGCTCATGTAATTTTGTTACTCATAGATATTTTGATATAGGAATATTTATTATGTCACTGAAAAATTCCTACAGACTGGCACATTAAAAGGTAGTTGCATGAGAAAAATACATTCAATTATTACCAAGGAAAATTCATATTTTGTATTACAGAACAAACAATATTTCAGTGTGCAACACAACAAATTCACTTAAATGTAAAATGCATTCTCAGATCTTTCTGTAAATATAAAAACAAGACATTCAACATAACAGGATATTGAATAGAACATATTAGTTAATATGCATACAATACATGCCTATGTCACATCACATAAGAGTCTGATTTCCAAGACTAATATTGACAGTTTCTCAGATCATTGGAAGAATTTTGGAAATCTCGTCTTAACAGCAACTGTCTGCAACCAACATATATTGAAAAAGAGAGAGAACAAGGATATTCTCAAATGTGAGATATTGACCTATAGTGGTGTGAAACAGAGCCACACTTTTTTTAAAGGGGTGTTTTACCACAACTACAAAATCAAAATATAATTAAATAACAAATATATATTTTTATTTCATCAGATCGAACAGCAAAAAAAAAAAAACTTAATGTATTTCCTCATTAAGATCTTTAACCATTCAGCATGCCATGTTACATCCAAACGATCATAGCTTATTACGTTTAACCCTTTGAATGAATTCAAATTCTTTAAATGTTTAATGCTCAGATATCCATGTGACCCAAAGATATTTTTTTTTACCAGCATATTCCTTTCCCAGATGAAGAAAAAATACAATTGACCCACTAAGTAAAAAAAAAAAAAAAAAAAAAATGTCAGGGGTGAATAGCTCACCATGGTTTCTGTTCAAAATCTTGTTCTTGCACAATGTTTATGGTATCAAAGGAGAGCCTTTTTATGCAATTTTTTAAAAAAAATTTAGGACAACTTACAACTTACACAAATCGGATGATGAAGATTTTGATGCACCAATTACAGCTGGAATATCTATGACTACCTTTTATTGCAGTTAACTCTCTTAAGATAAATTAATTGGGATATTTTCACACATTTTATTGTAATAAATTCAAAGATTTAAAGAACATTACTGGTTGCATAATATCAACTTTATTTCAGGTGCAATCATATAAACACAAATACCAGATACTGAAATTGAAATTCAGCCAGAACTGCTTTGGTGATGTTAGAAGATCTCATTATTTCAGTGAATGTTCATTTCTGTAACTCAGAACATGGTAACCGAAATAACTTACTCTTCATTAAGTTGATGATAAATTTCATCATATCTTTCATCTATTTTTTTTTTTTAGGAGCCTGGGTAAAATATACACCATAACGATAAATCCTACAAATATGCTTGAGATTTTGAGATATGTTTGAGATTACATTCAGACTTTAAAAGGAAGAGTTGATTGATCTGGTCAGCAGTTGCAGCTTCAGTCCAGCAGATAGCAGCATGTCTATGTCTCATGATGTGTCAGGCATGATGTGACGGTGAACACAGTCGATCCCCAAATTTGATTGTTTTTCTGACTCTGATCAGCTCTCTGATTGGCTGTAATTGGAAGAAATTTGCCCCAGCACGAAAATCTGTACTACAGGAAACAATATTAAGTTAACAATACAATATGTGTAATGTTTTATATTCAGCATAATAGCTATTGTCTTTTTTTTTCTGAGAAATGTTTTTATGTAGTGATCAGTCAAGCAGAATGTTGGTTTACCAGTTTAAAGGTGACAGTCGAATACACCCTGTTCAGCTGCCTCAACATCCTCTTCTGTGATGACTGAAGTCCAATGAATAAACAAAAATAGACAGAGAGTTTGTTAAACGCCCGAAAGCTTCCGCCACGGAATAAATAAATAAAAAGTAATAGCAACTTTTTCTCTCACAATTCTGACTTTTTTCCCTCACAATTACAAGTTAATATCTCACAATTCTGACAGAGTTATAAACTCGGACGGAAGGCGAAAATGCAAGATGTAAACTTTTGATGGCAAGGCAAAATTTCAGAATTGTGAGATAAAAAGTCGCAATTACCTTTTTTATTTCTAAGCTTTAACCCTCTGATTATCTTCATTTGTGTTTACACTCATTATGTTTGGGGTCTCCAGGGACCCCAGACAATAACATTTAATTTTGTTACAGAATTATATATATATATATATATATATATATATATATATATATATATATATATATATATATATATATATATATATATATATATATATATATATTACAAATGTAATTTTAGTCTGTTTATTAATGTTTTCACTCATCATTTGTACAGTTTTTGGAGGATTTTTGATATCTTTTAAATTTCTATAAATAATTAAATATTTATTTAAATAGTCTTTTTTACAAAAAAAAAAACAGCATTTTATGTCATCTTTACTTTATAAAAGACCAAGATTTCTAACTTTAATTAATGGGGATAACATGGATCATTTTAAATGATTTAATGTAAGTTTTTTGGAAAATGCAGTTTTAAAATAAAAAATAAAACTCACTTTAACCACTAGATGGCCATAGACTTCCACCATAAGCTATTTGTTATGTGAACCAAACTACATATCTTTTCACAAGTTTTTCCAGTTGGATTCATATCTAAATATTATAAACTCACAATTATAACAAAAGTTAAAATTAAAAGTTTTTTTGATAATGTTACATTATGCTTAGAATCAAAACTGAGCAAGACTCCAAATATTGGAGTCTTTAGATTTTATAATTTATTTCAATCATCTGTTTTTAATATAATTCTACAATTTTAATTCTACAATTTTACTAACTGTAACAGAACAAAAAATTACAGAAATTAACAGTTATTTTACATATTGAGTAAAAATACATGAACATCAAAATGCAATGAACTGAACAGCAATAACAAATTAGCAAATAAAGCAGTAAAAAAAATCTAATTAGTTAAAAAAAACAGTGAATTGGGGAAAAAATCAAACAACTAGGAACAATAATTGGTGATCATCACATACAGTCTCGTTTACACATTTGCACTGCAGGTGTTTATGCGTCAGTACACTGCAGGCAGTATGCATAGTATTGCCTTACAAATGTATAACTGTGTGTGTGCGTGTGTGTGTGTGTGTGTGTGTGTGTGTATTGTGGATTATTTTTTTGCATTGTAGGAAAAAAAGTGTGCTACCTTATTTATTATAAATAATTTATTATTTAATCATTTCTGTCTATTTGATCTGCGTTGTTTCTTTGTTGTTTCTGATTTTGATGATGAATTTTTTTTTTTTTTTTTTGGTAGATCTACAGTGTTACGAGGTCTAGAAACTTTCATACCATTTGGACAAAGAGAACATATTTTTAAAATTTACCAGAAGTCATTTGCAGGTCAAAAAGACCCCGAAGATAACGAGAGGGTTAAGCTTCTCTAAGTTCAGCAATTATGTGCAGTGTGTGTGAGAATATGTTTACCTGTGTTCTGCAGGTTTGATTGAGCATTACTGGACAGAGGAAAGCTGTAGGATCTGGACTGTAATGATGGGGGTGTTTCATGACTGATGCTCTTCGTTCTTTTGCGGCATTCAATCGTCAGACGTCCATGACATGCTTTATGACAGTTCACCCCACAAACTGAGAGAGAGAGAGAGAGGTGGTAAATGACAAATATGGTTCAATAGAAATGAGATTAACCTCATTAGGGTAAAGTATATTTTAGCTTATGAGAAATGATTTCGGTGCAGTATTCGGCAACCATATTTCATTACAATAGAAGTATGAAATTACATGTAAAGATTTAGCCTTCTTAAGTTCTATAAGGTTTAACTAATTGCATTTCAGTTAGCACACAAGTAGGCTATATTATTTTAAAGAAAATAATTACAAGGTCTCTTTTTAAAAGTATGCCAACGTGTACTTTTTCACAACACAACAGAAACTGAGAGAGTTAAAGATTAAGGGAGTCAAAACACCGGCAGAAGAGAGTTGATGTCTGAAGAGAGGAGGCATTTTGGCACACTCAAATGACAAGTGCTAAAAACACTAGCGTGACAAAAGATGTATGAAGATTAAATAAAAAAGGGAAGTACTTTCTCGTTTCTTCCACACCCTTTCATTTTCACTATTGTCTCATTTCTCTCAGCTAAATGTCAACACTGGCTATTTTGGCCATGTTGCATGTTTCTCTTTTTACTCACACAATCACTTCTTACATGCCTCCCTAAAAATATTGCTTAGACAAAGGCCATATATATATATATATATATATATATATATATATAGAAGAACTTTTAAAATAGAAAGTATACTAAAAGTAGTAGCCACAATTCACAATTTAGTATACAAATATTTTGAAATGTAATGTATTGCATCCAAGTGTATTGTGGTTGTCAAAACATTTGGTAGCCTAACTACACATCATTTTATCAAGTTTAGTGACAACATGGTGCAATAATTGGCATAGGCTGCTGCTTTTATTATTGCTTGATTCAGATTTCATTTTATTCTGATCTTGATTCAATTTGGATACATATTAGGTAGGCTACAGTAGATTTTTTTATCAAGAAAGAAAATCTCACCAAATGCTGTAAACATAGACTACAGAGAGCCCTGTCACCTGGTATTATTAAAGGTTAAAATTAACATCTCAAATTAAATATAGGCCTAATCGAGTTTTTATTACAACAACTTTATACTATTTTAATGATATAAGTAAAAAAAAACAAACATAATGTAGCTTAATATAGAGCACATATTTCACAAAATTCTAATTTATACTAATATTAAAGGAGTAGTTCAAAAAAAACTTTTGCTGATAATTTACTCATCCAAGATGTCCAAGTCTTTCTTTCTTCAGTCGAAAAGAAAGTTAGGTTTTTAATGAAAACATTCCAGGATTTTCTCCATATAATGGACTTTACTGGGAACCAAACGGTTCAAGGTCCAAATGAGAGTTTCAGTGCAGCTTCAAAGGCCTTTAAATGACACCAGACGATGAATAAGGGTCTTATCTGACCCATCGAGTCATGACTAGCTGCACTCGACCTGTAACTTTCACGTCTAGCGTCCCTAGAGGCCACAAGCTCCGCAGCACTGTCGCAAATTAAAGTCATCAAACAGTCAACCGGTCAGCCTCCCGTGTCTTTAGATTGTGTGTGCTTACAGTGTTTGAGGCGGCCAGTCTTGCCGTGCTCGATTCCCTTTTGCAGTCGGCTGAGAGAGAGCGAGCGGGGTGAGCCTCGTGGGGCTTATTATGTCTGTGAGTGAATGTGGGCGCAGGACAGCGGGCACATTCACTACACTGACAACACCGTCGGCCTGAGCTGACTGTATGTGTGTTGGTTTATTTTTACAGAAACCGTGGGACATGTGGTGTGTTTGTGGGTAACTACTGAGTCGTAGGCACGTTCACTACATTTAATGTAACGTTATATTTGACATGAGGTGATTTTCAGGTTTTTGATTCAGGTGAAACCAGAAAATACTACACTGCTTATATGAATTTATCTGAGTTACCTTGGAAACGGCATTTGTGTGAAGGCAAGCATCCGCATCGGTCGAGCACCCTTCCTCTTTTAGGTCACGCCAGCGAGCAAAGCGAAAGCTGGACCAATGTTAATCCTCGTCCTGGCTTTTAATTTGACACTCTCCCCTTTTCTTTTTTAGTTCCCTCTGATGAAACCATTGCCTTCTTCCTTGTAGATGTTGTTCGGCCATGACGAAAACATACAGACGGCAATCATACGCGAGTTGAGCACTTAAATGATCGATCGTTTCGCTAGATATAAGACCCTTATCCATTAAAACTCTGCACTGAAACTCTCATTTGGACCTTGAACCGTTTGGTTCCCATTGAAGTCCATTATATGGAGAAAATCCTGAAATGTTTTCATAAAAAACCTTAATTTCATTTCGACTGAAGAAAGAAAGACATGGATATCTTGGATGAGATGGGGGTGAGTGAATTATCAGCAAATGTTTTTTTTTTTAAAAAAAGTGAACTACCCTTTTAAATATATTATAATAAAAAATTTTACTAACCAACTTGTGTGCTATGGTCATTAAATAGCTTTCCTGAGGTAAATGTAAAGTTATGTGACATTGTACTCTACTCAAGCTGTTTTATTGACCTCTTTCCGTGGTTGAAAAACAATGATTGGTCGTTCTCATCCCAAGGCGTCATATACCAATGCACATATATCCAACGCACATACCACCCTTTATCTTCAATATGAGACGCAGATATATATGGGCCAGAAGGCGCCTCCTAGTGGTCTAACCCTAACCCTACCCCAGACCTAAACCTACCATAACCAAAGCGTATTATATTGACGCTAAAGGGTGCCATGTGCATTGGACGTATACGCATTGGCAAAAGCGTCAGTATATGACGCCATGTGATGAGAATGCGTTGATATTACAGTATGTATGAGGCATATACATTTCGGTAAGTTGTAGGCTACTGTATCTATCAACACACGTTACACACCTATAGAGGGTATGCGCGTGACGTCACCGTCGGCCGGAGTGCCTGCAGTTACTCACAGTTTAGTTGTTCAGTGAGAATGACTGTACAACTAGATTTGACAAAAAAATCGGAGGTATATTTTTACAGACTGCTATAGAAAGAGGAGCAAATGGATCGCTGCAGTTCACAGAAACAACTGGACTCCGGTCAGCGAAAAGTGGATTTGCAGTTATCATTTTTTGTCAATATGGTGAATTTAGGTGTAAAATACCGATATATATTTTGTATTGTTATATATATTAACAACTCATCAATTAAATATTTATCATTGCATATTCTGCATTATTGGATGTTATTTTAATAAACACTAACCAAAAAAAAAAAAAAAACTATAATGTTTTAGGGCTGGATGATATGATGATATTGATATAAGTGATCACCCGGATTTAGACCTACCTATATTGTATTTATATAAAGCGTTCACAGGCAAATTTGCTTTAGCCTATGTTTAGGTCTATATTGCTTTTATTTCCCCGGTGACGAAATAAGGCAAACATAAATCTCAGGCAACATGATCAATATCCATGGATCACTGGATCTTTATTAAGTTGTAAGGAATACTATATCGAGTCCAACATTTAGTTTAAATTGATAAAATTGTTCGTTTTAGTCACATTTTCGCAGTTTCCCCAATTAAATCAAGTCACGCAGCAGATCTTTTGCCACTCAGTCAGGCTGAGGGGGGTTGTTCCGGCGGGAAAGTGACGTCATCAATCCATTCCCTCTATTGATCATTTGTGTTAATTTACTATTAACTAGGCTAGTAAAGAGAGATGACCGGTTCAACTGCCATTTGAACTGAGGCGCAACAGCGATCTGTCACATTTAAAAGCGCCAAAACGGCAATTGTTGTTTGAATTTCATAATAAAATAGTCCAAATCTGAGAGCTGAGAATTTGTTTCATATCAAAAGTATCCTTCTCTGTTTTGTCTGTCGGTGTCAGTGTCAGGCTCTTTGCTTCGCAACTTTTCTCTGCGTGAGAAAATGGATGTGTGGCGTGAGAGCATGTGAAAAGTGACAAATGAATCTCACGGTCACTGTGTGAGAGTTGGCAGCTCTACAGACATCACTAAACACAGCACATTTCACTTCTCCACAACAGTATTACAGGATTGTCCCTGCTCTCTGTCCTGGCCAGCCTTTCCTTGTATTAAAAATGAAATGTGACTTGTTTAAAAAAAAAAACAGATTCTGAACAGCTTATTGCGCTACTTCACCACTTAACAGAAATAATACTGTTTTTCATCCAAAGTGCCATATAATATCATTGATATTTTTAAATCCTAGTTTAATTTTGAATCTGGCCCTGCTTCAGGGGGGCAGAGAATGGGGACAGGGAGTTTTTAAGCTTGAAAATATACAAAAGCAACATTAACGTAGCATAAAAGCAGTTCATGACTTTGTGCTATAATCTTATACATCGTGCAATAGCATTGTGTAAGGAATGAACCGAAATTCTGGTCATAATTTATTGAAAACATTGACAACCACCCTATAGCTAGCTACCCCAATCTCCTTTTAGTTTTGTGTGTGTGTTTTTCAGATTTCAATGAATCATGAGATACTGTCCAAAACTGGTTCACTGAATCGTTTTTGAATTCAACTCACTGACTAATTGAGTTAATAGCTTAAATGTAAGTCTGTTTCTCATCCAAAGCTACATATGACTTCAGAAGTAATATGGGCTGCTTTAATGATAAATCTATAGTGCTTTTTCATCCTTTACAAAGCTCGAAAGCTCCAGTCCTGTAATGGACCCTATGCGCGATTGCTTTCGTATTTAGACTCACTAGTGGCCACTACAACTTTCATTACAGCGCAGTGTATGGATATCATGAGAAAATGTAGTATACAAAATTAAATCTTGGGGAAGTGTTACGCTATCTATCAATACTTCTATATTGTTCAAATCTCTGTCCTATTGAGCTTTCCTGAATGGGTGAATTGGTAAAGGAATTGGTCATTTTTTTCAGACATGCCAAACATGCACATATACAATTCTCTCTTACCTTTGCATTTGTATCCTTGTTTATAAAAGCCCCATATCTTAAAAAAGAGAGATATACATATTAAAGTTATTTTTGAAGAAAGAGCGAGATGCAGAAAGGATGTTGAAAATAGTACAGAGAAGAGAAGAAGGAGGATCAAGAGAGAATGAGAATCACAGCAGGAAAACAATAGATGAAAGCCCAAACATCACAAACACACAACATCAGAGGCCACACACACACAGGTAGATCTGAAAGTACCACATACACACAATGGAAGGGACTGGGTGCAGCATTCAATACACAGCTACTCACCACACCATGTTATAAATAAACCAACAGATCAAAGCCAAATGTGCTCAGTAGAGCTCATTTCTAAAACTGTCCAAACTGTCCAAGACACTGTGTAATAATTAAAGTACCCCTATTATGCTTTTGTATAGGTTCCTAATTTTGTTTCGGAGGTCAATATGTGTACATGCATCAAAGATCGAAAAACCATTGATTTTCTCATATAGATGGCAGAATCTTTTCTCACAGTGTCTAAAATGGTTTGATCAAGGATCCGGTCTCTATAAACCCCTCCTTTTCGAGAACCTCCCCTGCTTTCAAACCTATGTAGGTTTGAGCAGGAGGTAAGATGACGAAAAGATGGCTCATTTCAGTTTAGAATCGGTTCTTTCTTTTGGGAGAAAATAACTCCATTGATCTGCACTTGATCTTTAAAACATTGCAGAACTTTTACAATTACAAACAGCTATATTATACTACATGAAAGATAATATATGAAAAAGCATAACAAGGGCACTCCAAAAAACATGAAACTATTTCTATATGATTGCATGAGCATCTGATACTTACAAAGCCGGTGCAGTGTTCGCAGAAGGTGGGTTTCACATATGTAGTCTCCATGAAGGTGTGTACGAAGCCCATCTTACAATTGAGCAAAGAACTGGCCTTCATAAAATAATCTATCATTTCCTCCCTGCTGATCTTTCCATCCCTAATAGATAGAGACAAGCAGATGAAATGAGAGAGAAAGACATACACTCTGAAATAGTCTACGAGGTCCAAGCAGTTTGGGAAACTTTTCCTCATAACAGATACACTTCCATGGAAAGGGTGCTTCGTGAACATCACAAGAGGAGCAGCCCAAAACTCATGTCACCACTGTAGATTTAGTTATGGCGATAATAATAACTGTATAATAATAATAATGTCTTAAAGGGACACTTCACTCATTTGCATTAAGCTTTGTATCTTTAGAAACCCAGTCATATTTTTGAATGGTCATGGTTTATTCCATTATTTTCCCCTGAGATGGGAAAAATAAGAATTTAAGTGTTTTACTTCCTGCTTATTATGACGTGAAAATCGTCATTTTGTGTCGTAATAAGCGGGAAGTCACATTTCATTCAAATGTGTAGAGACTACAAACATTAGCTCAATTCAAGGGTGTGGGACCCACTCACCCCACAGGCCTATTACAGATCAGTGGGTGGGACTTCCCTTGCAGATACTGAATCAATATATCAGCCATCTTGTTTGGAAGCTAAGCTAACAAGCGCTGTGGAGATAGGAAGTACGATAATGATGGAAGAAACTAAACATGATATGGAAGAAGAGGATTTTGAAATTCTGTTGCTCGAATCCGATGTTCGTGGCTATCTTTACGAGTCGCAATATAGTGAAGAGCAGCTGAGGCTGATGGAGGAACAGGAGGCGGCTGCCTGTCACGGTCGAGGAGCCCGGACTGGCGTGTATAACACAGTCTCATCCCAAAAAGTCATATAACTGACATTTTGGGACGTATTTTGACCATACGTCAACATCCACCTTTTTAGGGCCCCCTTAAACGTCGGTAGATGGCGATCCCGGGCCGTCATACAACTGACGCTTTACCTTTAACGTCAGTTAGGTGACGAGTTAGGTTTAGGGTTAGGTTTAGGTATGGGGTAGAGTTAGGATCCCATAACCTCATCTACCGACGTTTAAGGGGGCCCTAAAAAGGCGAATATTGACGTATGGTCAAAAGACGTCCCAAAACGTCAGTTATATGACGTCTTGGGATGAGACCGGGTTGGCGTATACTGTATGTGCTCTCTCTGTGAACTACGGACACAGATAGTGTCCGTCAGCTGCATAGAATTTCAACGATGGCAATTTCTCCTGAATGAAATCTCTAAATAAGACGAGCACACGGACGTTTGTGTTGTGATGTGAACCATCTTAGTTTCGCCTGACTGAACATCCAGGTATCATGCAGTAATTCACCATATAGAAATAAACACAAATGAGGATTAATTCACTAATGAGTTTGCCAATGTAACGTTAACAGGGTTTGTTGTTGTGGGAAGAAGGAGGCGGGAACCGGCGAACATTTAAACATTTTAATAGAGAGCCTAAGTCCCGCCCCTCCGCTTCCGGCTCATAGGTCCTTATTTTGGAAAAAATATGAATGGTAGTCAATGGCGAGAGACAACTTATCTTTTTATTCCGTCTGAACTGTGCCCTGAATTACACATACGATGTTTGTCAATTTAAAAGATTATTCTGAAAGTCAAAAACGTCGCAGTTTGTCATAAAACAGAAGAATAACATTTAGTTTTATGTGAAAATCGCTCAATGAACTACATCTCCCGGGAAGCGAAACCAGTGAGATCCGCTGCTCGTGTGTGTGCAGTCTGGTACAAAACACTCAGGCATGACGGCGTAACGTTACCATTATAACGTAAGACTAGAAACAATGACAGACATTAGCCTCAGTAAAGTTAGCTTCTTTCATTGAGAGAAAATGTGCGCCTTGGGGTTTGTAGTCTTTGTAATTACGTATTTTCACAGTCTCATACCTCAACGGTACATCAAACTAAGACGTTCTTGACTTTAAAATGATTCTTTTAAATTGACAAACATCATATGTGTAACTCAGAGCACAGTTCAAACGAGATCGAAATATTTGTTGTCCCTCGCCATTGAATACCATACAATATTTTTCAGAAATAAGGTCCCTTGGTGGTCGACCGGAAGGGGAGGGACTTAGGCTCTCTATAGTAAAATGAACAAATACAAAACGAAAGTATAAGCCAACAGCCCTTCATTGACGACTGCTGAAACGTTGCTCACAACAGAAACAAAACACATCATAATATCAGGCCTCGATCTACCATCGTCGCTCCTCATTTTATGCTTTCGCACCTCTGTGAGAGACGCGAGACCGGCGCGTCTTATCACTCACACTTTCACTTTCATTATCACTCACGCCGTTCTCTTACGTCCCTCGCCCTCGATCGTCCTGCTCGCCACAGCCAACTAACTAGAAATTTTGTGTGAAATGAATTTCAAACTCTGGTGGCAGCTAATGTTATCCTCTGCTAGACAGAAGAGTGATTTCTCTGATGTGTGCGCAGTTCCGGATTAGTGGGTGTGGCTTGCGGAGCTGTGCAATGTGATGCATTGTGGGAGTTGGTGTCTTACATAGAAATGTGCCTCTCGTCTTTTCTCGGTCAAGAGGGCACCAAATTCAAAAATTCTTTTACATTCCGACTACATATATGATCCACTTTCAATAAAGATTAATGTTGAAATGGGTGAAATGCTCCTATAGACCATTTTGCAAGATATAAACAACACTGGTCCAGAAGCACTTCCTGTTTCAGTTTTTTTAACTCTACATAAAAGCTGGGATAAAATACAAACAACAGAACATACAAAACTGAATCAAAAAGTTAAACAAACATCTTTAAGATGTTTTCTTTACATGTAAAAATGAAGAAAACAGTTACAAACTGAAACAGGAAGTGTTTCTGGACCAGTGTTGTTTACATCTTGTAAAATGGTCTATAACTGTTACTGCTGTTACTAGTCGGATATATGCCATATATATGCCAACATTTCTGGAACCTACCAGTTTATCCAGAATTTTGGAAATTACTGAAATTGAATAATTATACCATAGAATAATTAGATATGGCAAGATTGTTCCACCCAATATTTGACATTTTTGATGCTGCTTTGCTGCACTTCATTATGCACTGTTCTGATAGCTGTAACATGTTACATGAAAAGTTACATTTTTAGGCTGGTCTGCCTCAGTGTTCAGTGAAACAAGGTTAAGACTAGTTGAAGTGGGAACTCACTAACTTCATTATCCAGAATCCAATATAATAAATTGGCCCTAACAGCACTTGTTAATAGTGTGGATTACCAATCAAGGTGGGCATTAACGTTCACAGAAGCCGAACATAAATTCCAGCATAATAAGTTTCAATGGTGCAAGAGTATGAGGTAAGATGTAAGAAAAACATTTAATATTTGAAAATTGTTATATAAAAATGATGTAAAAAGACCAACAGTAACAATAGCCTATAGGGCCTATACGTTCAATTAAAAATTACAAAACTTTACACACACAAAAAAAGAGTTGACTAGCACTAGGTAGGTATAATAGTGATGCAAGCTACTCAACTTTTGTGTCAAATTTTGCAGTTTTGAATCAGTTCGATTAACTAAATATGACTGATCAAGAAACAAGCAAAGCTGTTTTTGGAATATTAGGCATAAGATAAGAGTGAATGTGTAAATATTTTCAAATAAAAAATGTATTTATATCATACTCTATTCATTGGATTCTGGATATGCCTTCATAATGAAGTTAGTGAGTTCCCCCTTCAAAGTGTTTACAGTCTAGTTTGTGAATACATTTATATTATGGCGTGCAAAAGAAAGTGCTCTTGTTTGGCATTGACACACTCACTGATTTTTATCAAGTTCTCCAAACTTGCTGAGATATGGAAAGTTATTCCTGATGCATTCAAACTCTTCACGTGAGATGAAGCCGTCACCGTTTGTGTCAAAATTCTTGAACACTGACTGTGAAAAGAAAATAGACACACAGTTTCATTAACATCTCCAATAATACATTTTACACAATGGAGTGATTTGTAAATAAACTTTATAATTTACTGTCAGAGTAAACATATACATAATTGACACTGCACTAATACCACCCTTAAAATCATTACTGATGAATCTTACATTGGGAACAAAAATAACAAAAGGTCCAAAGGGAGGATACAAGGGCTTTTTTCCTTTTCCAAAACTTTGAAATTAAATTATTTAAAGTGTTAAAGTGCATGCTTAAACTTAAACCACCGTCTTTTCCACATAAACAGGAATATATCAATAATATCAAGATCTCTACATCATTCAATGCTAATGTATTGATTCTGCTCACAGTAGAGGCGAAAGAAACAGAGTGTTTATAGTTGCCTTAGAAAGTACCCTGAATTCAGAAGCAGTTTTATTCAGGTAAACCATTATCACTTTCAATTAGGGGTGCCAATTTAACATGATTAATAATGTAAATAAGATGTTTAAACATAACACATTTACTCATGTCCCCTGACCAGTATAATCTCCAGTAATTGTATTTTTTTTTTAATGCTGTGTTTTAAATAATTTGAATACAACATTTATCATACTAATACTATGACGTTAAATAATCATAATTGACAGAAAAAAAAAAACTAAAATGCAGAAAGCTGGTTTAGTTTTGTTTCTCCCTAAACAATTCTGATATTGAGGTCTTTTCATTTTTGGCTTCAAAAACAACACTAAGTTTTGGTTTCACAGACAGGGCTTAGATTAAAGGAGAACTCCGGCGCAAAATGAACCTTTGGTCTAATAACACATTGGTACCTAGTTAACTGTTCTCTGAGATTTGTTTTCATGATAATCGAATGTAAAGAGTTTTATCTCTAAAAACTGTTTACCATATAACGCTAGTATATAGGGCATAGAGTAATGAAAAATAAAAATCGCTAGTTAATACCACTAACAAGGCTCAAAATAGCCCCACTCTAACATAATGAGGGTCCCAACACGCAAAATTAAGTATTGAGAACTTTATAAGTGTCCAGACTGTTTAATAAGAAGTTATTTTATAAAGATAGTCCACTTCATGTATACAGGCAGGAGCCATCTTTGGAAAACAGTCTCGACAAGTCGAACCACAAACTCTGTTCATACAGTTCAGGAGTTCACTGAACTTCATACAGTTTGTGGCACGTCGTTCGTGGTTCGACTTATTTCCAAAACAGTTCGAGACTGTTTTCCAAAGATGGCTCCTGCCTGTATACACGAATAGACAAAACAATGGCACAGACATAGTTTAAGATATTCCAGTGTAAGTTTATGGAAATGTCTAAGAAGATCTATGCCGCGGTTCAGTCTTCCATGAAGATGGTTCTCACTGCAGAACATGAAATCCATTGGGAGGAGTCGGATCCAGATCCAACTTCTCCCACCTTACATATACCTAAACCTACCCAGCTCCACCCCCTGATCCCTAAAGCCACCCCTAAAACTACCCAACTCCACCCCTCAGATCTGGATCCGACTCCGCCCCCTGGATCTCGTGTACTGCAATGAGGTGCTACTGCTTCCATGTGCAATTAAAAATTTGCCTAGATTTTTAACCTTTTATCATGCATTTCTTGCCCAATTTGGACAATTACTAGATATAACATGATTACTAGATATAGCATGGTTAATCAAGGTTTAGAGCAACAAATAAGAGGGGCGGGGCTTAGTACAGGTTCAATGTAAATAATGTACTGTGTTGAACATACAGTAAATGTGGGTCAAAACAAATTGGAATTATAAGAATGTTACACTCTAAAAAATGCTGGGTTGTTTTAACCCAACTTTGGGTCAAATATGGACTAACCCAGCCGTTGGGTTAAATTTTTACATTACATTTTTAACCCAACATTTCGGGTTTGTCCATATTTGACCCAAAATTGGGTTAAAACAACCCAGCATTTTTTAGAGTGTAGTTTTTCTCTTACATCCACCATCTTCTCGATATGTTTGCTGATGATAACAGGGTTAGCTTTAGGCTTCACCGATGCTGCCCATTCATCAAAGATTGATAGTTTTTTAGGAGCTGGACTGGAGGAAGTTGTTGAGTTCTGATTCAGGAAGCAAAAAACAAGTGTTTACAAGTGTGCATTTATCTTCACATTTAATTTATGAGATAAAATCTAATCTGGTGAGTTATTGTAAACAAATACATTTATTCATAACCAAATATCAACGTTGCAATATTGCAGAAATGGGGATGCATAAAATGAACCAAATGTGAAACTGACCGGAGGTTTTGCAGCTCTGGGTTCTCTCTGTAATGAGAGCTGATAAATCTCCTCTTCTGTGTGATACTGATCCAGTGACACCTAGACATAAAACACAACCAAAATCTCAGGAAAGTCTCAGGATTCAAGCTACAGATGATTAATATAACATTTGGGGAAGATTAGACATTAATGATTTCTTATATTTATCAGAAAGTATTTCTGAACCTAAATTGCTGTTTACTAAATGTGTCTGCTCTGTTCTGCATTTGTGTGTGATTGATTTCATTTTAGTCCATTTGACTGTTTTCTGATAACCACACAAAGTTTAAAGACTCAAACACTTCCATACTGTATGCATGTTTTCTCTTTCTAGAAATGGTTGAATGGATTTGATTAGACATGAATTTTCATAGTACATTCACCGCAGCAATTACTGTAATTATTTAGAAGATTCTATTTAGAGCTGTTCACATTCTGGGGACTTCAATAAAAAGGTTTCTATGGCAACACTCAAAACATTCTGGCAAACTGCAAAAAAGTGTTTTTGAAAATGCTTTCCGTGTTGTGTATGGATGGACGGGTGGTGCAGATTTTGGAATATGCAATTTGTTCATGCTTGGCATCAGTTGTTTTTTTAAATTGAGGAATTTAACAACAATTTGGTAATTCTGTATCCTGTAGAATATGACTTTCTGTTCTATTTCTGTGCTGAAAAATCACAGAAGAGCTCAACTCTAGTCTACATTGATGGGCGGAGTAGTGGGAGTGGCCTGCGGAGCTGAGCATTGCAATGCACTATGGGGATTGTTGTCTACAATCCATAAGCACTAAAAAGTCATTTTCTGCCTTTTATCGCCCAAGAAGGACTCTAATTAGAAATGTGTGATACTATTCTACATATAAGACCCACTTTCAATACATATTCTTGCCTCTACCGGTGGAATTACCCTTTAGCTTTTTCCTTTAGCAGGTGATTGTTTTTAGGTTGTGATCATTTGTGAAGACTGTCATGATGAACATGATGTGTAAGTTTAAAAACATTTGTTGTTCACAGCTTATTTTCTGTAATAATTCGGTAACACTTTACAATACGGGTGCACCAATATGCATTAATTCATGCTTAACTAATACACAGATAATCATGATTTAATGTATAACTAATGAAGAACTAAACCATAAATTAACGATTACTGCATCAGCAACTAATAAAGAGTCTATATGATTAATAGATTAAGTAATACATAAATTGCTATTAATTCAATGTGTCATTGTGTATTAATTCCTTAATAACACATTTTATTAACTAATAGTGTAAATTAATGTGTTAATTACCACAATTAGTCAAAGCTATGCACTTCAACTTCCAGTTGTCTGCTTTAATTAATCATTAGCTAATGATTTGCAAAGGTATCATTATGTTATGACTTTACTTGTTGAGGCACATCATTATTAACTAGTCATTTAGTAATTGTAGTAATTTTCACATGAATTTGCACTAACAATTAAGTAAGTAATCATGTATTAATGCATATTAGTGTACCTGTCATATTATCTGGAAGTTTAAATACAAGGCCTTGGCTCATTCTGGTAATTAACATATTAATTAACACTATTAGTTAAAAAAATGAGTTATTATGGAATTAATCCACAATTAATTAAAAACAATTCATGTATGAACTAATACATTAACCTTACAGACTCTTAATTAGTTCCTAATGTGGTAATCATTAATGAATAGCTTAGATAATCATTACTTACACGTAAATTCAGTATTATCTGTGCATTAGTTAAGCATGAATTAATGCTTATTAGTGCACCCTTATTGTAAAGTGTTACCAATAATTCAAAAGAAAAATCTATTGTTTTTTTGTTTTTGTCAAGGGAACCTGAGTGGCCTACAAAATACGTCAAAACTTCAACACAAGAGTGGAAATCCTATTTTCTCAAACTTGGCAATAATACATAAACAGTCAATTGGTTAGTTTTAGCCTAATCACTCTAATCCTCTTGAAATCATATACACATCATAAAACACACACTCACTGTTAGTAGATTGAGCAAGTCTGTGTTGGCCTCAATGTTCGGGGGAGTGTTCTGCACGAGGGCTAATTCCTGCAGGATCGCATAGAGTTGCTGAAATTTGGTCAAGTTGACACGAGTCTTTTGTGGGTCTGTCCAGTCGGACAGCGCAACATGAACGGCTATCAGGTCCTTGAGGTTAACGGCCAGGATTGGGAAACGAAACCCAGTGCATTCAGCGAATCTGCGTCGGTATTGACTGTAGTTGCCACAAGATGTCACCAGGTCCAACAAACTGTTGAAGATCTGAGAGAGACATTCTGAAATTGAATTTGTCTGAAACACAAGTGTTGGGTCTGATGTAAAGGTTTTGTGTCTGGTGCACAGGTGTTGTATGTACCTTATTGGTTTCATTGTTGATGTGTGCCTGTGTCTCCTTCAGCCTAGAAATGGAGGTATTATTGAGACCCCCGACCACCGCCATCAACGTGTTGAAATTCTGCAACTGTAGTAGTTTCTACAGGGTGTGAAAAAAGAAAAAAAAGAAATAGAGGATGAAGTTAACAAAATATTTTGTTATATTATTAATTATAAAAATAAAAAAAAACATTAACTATGCAGTTTTTAGGCCCTGAAAGCTTCCAGGTGTGCGTATATTAGCAAACTCAGGGAAGATTACTAAAATATTTGTATTGATCCATTTGATTTTTATCTTATTTTCATCATTATGAACAAATAAACCATAACCCGTTTGCAAACAGTACACAAAGATTTATTGTAACACCATACTATACATAAAATAAATCACAAAGCTGATTAAGTATGTATGTTAAGTTAATTTTAGTGTAATTATTAATGCTACTAGTGTATCATCGCTTTCCACTGTCAGGTAGACTACATAAAAACAAATGTGACTGCACGTCATTTGAGCCCGTTCTCATCCCAAAGCGCCATATAAGACGCTTTTGCAAAAGCGTAAATATCCAACGCACATGGCACCCTTTAACGTGAAATGGGACGCAGATATATTTGGGCAGAAGGCGCCCCCTAGTGGTCTAACCCTTACCCTACACCTTACCTAAACTTAACCCTAACCGAAGCGTCTCATTAGACGTTAAAGGGTGCCATGTGCGTTGGATATTTACGCTTTTGCAAAAGCGTCCTATATGGCGCTTTGGGATGAGAACGCGTTGGTCATTTACTACATAGGCAAATTTATTGGTTAGCACCAGAATTAGTGTAGAATCTTACAATTCTTTTGAAAAAATAGTTTTTAACTTTTTCAATTTTTTTATACAAAATTTGGTGATTGCTTGTCCCTTATACATGTTCCTACTAGCCTGCTTTTAAGAGATAGATTGAGAGAAGAAAGGATTTTGAAGAGAATGACTACTTTATATGAAAAGATTCTGGTCACAAAACCTTAAAGGAAATATCATAAAGATAAAAAGCAGTAGTCAAAGTGATATTTAGGAAGAGGAAGAGCTCAAGGCCCATAAGAAGGAAGAGAACAAGGGTTTATCAGGAAGAACAAGAGCAGGGGGTGATGGAGCCCCTCTGTGCTTCTGAAAAATTCAAAGAGAGGAAAAGTCACATGGGACTAGCTATCATCATACTAAAGGTCTACACCAGAAGTCTTGGGGGTTTTATTCATTATGTTCTCATTTTCTGCAGATTTTTCCAGACTGCAGCTGTTGTTCTTATAACTACAGTAACTTCTTGTTGTTCTGTACTAGAGCTGTCATTTCCCAGCCCTGTAGATTATAATTTCAACCAAACAAAGAATTTATAGTGCCAAGCACTAACAAAATCAAATGAGCAACTGTATTCCTGTAAATCAGGTCCAAAATCACTGTCTTTACAATACAATAACAATTACTGGTGTGGTGTATACTCTGAAAAAAACCTAAAACAATTTTTACTTTGAAATAAATTTCACAAATAATGACAAAGAAACAGCACACACTGAATTAAACATGACATTTTGAAGTAGAAAAACGGAAATAGCTTTTTTTTTTTGTAAAACAAAATAAAAATCCAATAATCTTTGTTTTATTTACAACTTCGGAAAATCAATGCACAGTAGTTAAAGGGATACTCCACCGTTTTTTTTTTTTTTTTTCATATTAAACTATGTTATACCCTTAACTAAGACGAGTTGATACACTTCTCTTGTCTCAGTATGTGTACTCAATCGCTCTGGCGCATGAGACATTTTGATAGCACTTAACTTAGCCCAGTTCATTCATTAGGATCCAAACAGAGAAGCGACCAAACACCTCCAAGTTTTCCCTATTTAAAGGGATAGTTCACTTTGAAATTATTTTTTGATATGTTTTAGCTTACCTCAAGGGCATCCAAGATGTAGGTGTCTTTGTTTCCTCAGTATTTTCAATTTTGACATTTTTTAGTCAAACCGTTCGTGTCTATCATTCATACACTGGAGGCTAAGGGGGTCCACCAAAAAGCATGCACAGAGAAGTCAAAATTAAACATGATTTAATTACTCGTAAATGTAAGTACACATTGATGGCACGAAGCGAGTCGTTTGTGGGAGAAAACGAACAGTATTTATATCATTTTTACCTCTTGTAATCATAGCCATGACAAAATGATCTGACTGCACGGGCGCTTCGGTCTGCGCAATGCTCCGGAAGTGATCGCTTGCACGCCTACATCACTCTTTGTTCATACAGAGATTTCGGAAGTTTTACCTTTCACTAAACATATTTAGATATACGGGAAACCGCAATGGAAGACGATTTCGGTATATCTAAATATGTTTAGTGAAAGGTAAAACTTCCGAAATCTCTGTGTAAATATTAAGTGACGTCACACGCAAGCGATCACTTCCGGCGTAACATTGAACTGATTCAGTTCGGTTCAGTTGGACATTGCACAACTGATTCAGATCACTTGGACGTCACTGTGATTACACGAGGTAAAAACGATATAAATACTGTTCGTTTTCTCACAAAAAACGCTCATTTCGTGTCTTAGGCCATCAATGTGTACTTACATTTACGAGTCATTAAATCATGTTTAATTTTGACTTCTCTGTGCATGCTTTTTGGTGGACCCCCTTAGCCTCCAGTGTATGACTGATAGACAACAACGGTTTGACTGAAAAATGTCAAAATTGAAAATACTGAGGAAACAAAGACACCTACATCTTGGATGCCCTTGAGGTAAGCTAAAACATATCAAAAATTCATTTCAACGTGAACTATCCCTTTAAATACGTACAGTTACACGAGTATATTACACACCACAGCAAGTGCTTGGGAGCACTTCGATTCGGCGCATATATATCTATGGACTCGGCACAGTAATATCATCGTTCCGAAAAGGGAGAGGATTTTTCACGAGTGATGATATTACTGCACCGAGTCGAAGTGCTCCCAAGCACTTGCTGTGGTATTCCGCCATACATTATAATTATCCACTTTACACGCTTATAAAAGCTCAAAGTTTTATTTTGTGTCACCATTCTTGGTTGAGTTACACTACTCGTGTAGTAAATAATAAAACAGTTACACTGCTCGTGTAACTGTAGGGAAAACGTGGAGGTGTTTTGTTGCTTCTCTGCTTGGATCCTACTGAATGAACAGTGCAAGTTCATTCAATCAAGCAAGCGCTATCAAAGTGTTTCGAGGGCCAGAGCGATTAAGTGCACCCACTGAGAGTCCACTAACAGTTTAATATGCAAAATTGGTGGAGTATCCCTTTAAAGACACCTCATATATAATGGGACACACTGTAGTCATCCTGACCTGCGCGACCTGTATGAAGTGTGCAATCACGGCAGCTCTCTGCGGTGCAGTGGGCTTGCTGAGAACCATCAGCTGAATCCACTGTGAGACGCTGTTAAAGAGTGTAATAAACCTCTCCAGAATTGGGTTATCTACTGTACAGCCGTGCATCACAAAGCTGTGGTAATCCTGGAACTGGAACACACATAAAACAATGGTCAGATTCAGACCACATGCGAGGACTTACGGAGATTAAATCATTATGGAATCACATTATGATAACCTTCGGTGGTGTTTTTACACAGTGTAATTCCTTAATAAGAAAATAATAGACTGTTTTTAACAGGCTCATTTCAGTTATTATAATGCCGTGTGGACTATATGTGACAGAGTTTAAAGTGCCCTTATTATGCTTTTGCCGATATTACGTTCCATGTAGTGTGTATAGCTGAATATGAATGTAAAAAGTCCGTAAAGGCATATCTTTTTGGTGGCTCTTTCTCATCCATACTTTTAATATAAGATACAAATAAATCTATCAGCTTACCACTCCACCAAGCCCTGAAAGACAGCATGTTTAGTCACATTTTGGTGCAACTTATGTGATATTCTGAGGACAATTAGAGCACGTTCACACCAACAAGCATATCAAAACCTGTTCTCTCAAACATACCATTATCTTGCAGAAGGATTTGTACTCCAGATAGGTCAGATGTTCAGCAAGCTCACAAGGGTCCAGGTGATCAAACAAAAGAGACATTTTTCTCTTTTTTGACATAGAGGGAACTCTCTGGGTAACTTGTCGTTTCCATTGGTACGAGGGCCTGCAGCAGGGAAATGTTTTTATTTCAGACAGGACTAAGGTTGTTATTCATGGCAGTTGACCAACATGCTGAAATATGACTGTGCTGTGTAACATAAAAATAATACAAAATCAGTCATCAACTAGGCCTACTCACCCACATTTCACTCCAAACTGTTAAAAAGATGCATGTTTTGAACAGGAGTGTGAGTAGTGGAATTTTTATTTATTTTTGCTGAACTTTTATCCATGCACAATATATTTTTTGTTATTCGTGCCCTTGTAATATTCAATCATATTAACTTCCCCTCCCTTTTGCAGCAACATTCTCTTCTCCGGTGTTTCACTCAGATACAGTACATCCCAATAGAGAAAAAAAAGACTATCATAACTTCTGTTTCATGCCATCTGTAACCTTTTCAGAGTGAGAACATAAAAGTAAGTTTGGCTGTGAGTCTGTATACTTACACACTCTCTACATCAATAAGTTGACTCTGTGTTTCATTGCCGCCAGTGTTCAGGTTCTCTCTCAGGTCTTTAATCTGGTCAGCCAAAGCAGGATTCAGATCAAACTCTACTGGAAATTCGGAAATCCAGTACCTACATAGAAAAAGACCAAAGAGCAAATGCAATGAAAAAAAGAAGATAAGACATACCATGGAGAATTTGAATGAGACACAGGATTATTCTTACTTTACGAGGTGGCATATTTGGGCTCTGATCTCATCTGTGCTGCCCTCCTGTGACCTGCACATTTGTTAAGGGTTTTCTATCGAACTCATTTCATCGACATTTTCATTTTTTCAAGAGAACATATCTAAATACAATATTGGAATTTTATGGAATTTTATTCTTTAATTTAGCTCTACATAATTAACTTTACAACAGGAATTAAATGTCAAGTAGGCCTACTTTGGTTCATCCAAATGATATCAGGTTTTACAGCACCTTATGGCAAGATTTAAGAATTCCCTATCATCAAATAAAGTTGAAATATATTGGTGAAATAAGATTGTGCTTAATTTGTTTTGGTGAACCGCTTCCAATATTAACACAATGAACAATGTAGGGCTGCAACAACTAATAGATCAAATCAGACCACAAATTTTTTATCAATCAGTCAGATATGAGCAGAAACCATGCGCCAGTCATGTCGCATTACAGTATAGAATAACCAAAGCCTTGTAGGATTTTGGAATTACACATTTCTATGTTTCTAATGTTTTTGAGACGTACATTTTACAGTTATATCCTTATCTGTAAATGTTAGAATGTCCTGCGAATATAACAACAAGCGAGTCTCTGTTAAACTGCAATAAACCATTAATTATATTTTTATGAGAGCATTCAGGTAAAGGGATTGTATTTGGAATAATGTAATATACCGATATGCTAATGAATCTGTTCAGATGAGAGAATTATGTGTTTCCCACCTCGTTTTGTGCATGCTTTTGTTTTTGTTCATTATAATTTTTAGTCGTTTTAATTTGTGCCATAAAATGTCAAGAAATCAGTTGTTTGGTTTAGAATGTAATTTTATAGTTTAACCCTTTTTTGCACATAGCGTTATATACATATATAGAGATATTCACTATATATATTTCTATATAATATATAATAACATTTAAAATATAATGGATTGAAATTAATTCATTTTTAATTAGTTGCAGCCCTAGAACAATGCAAAATAACATACAACGAGAAGGTTTTAGTACGTAAAGGATACTTTAGCAGCAGTTTCTTGGACAGATCGGTAGAAGAAATGTACCAAGGATGCATCATCAAAAACATTTTCAAAAAGGAGGGATTTTTTATTGTGCCTGCACTGTCTGAAAGCACAAACATCACAGAACATTAATGACAAAATAAACCATACACATGTTTTATGGTGACTTCCTTGGTCGCTGTTGACCAGCTTTACCAGCTAAGCTTTGCTAATGAACAGCATGATTACTGTTTGCTGGTTCATTTTGTAAATTTACAGCAGTTGCTCTAAATCATCAGTCTAAATTTTCCACCCAAACTTTTGTTTGAAACTCATTTATGTATAAAACTTTCTTTATAGACTCACCAAAGGACTGTATGCAGATGTCCACCAACTCATCCACTGTTCCTGTATCCACAGGTAACGGATCCATCATTTCTCTCTCTTTCTTCCTCTACTCTACCTTCACTTTCTAATGCCCGTCTGTCTTTCTCTTCTCCTCCAGTGGTCTTCCTCTTCTCTTTTGTCTGTGAATAGAAATTTATATGGAGAGGATTGCATTAAATTTATTGCATTTATTGCATTAAATGTGTATTTGTAGATTTCAAATGTTAAAAGTATATATTTTTTAAAACTGTACTTGTAGATAATATAACATTAACTAAAAGGCCACTTAAGTGTATGGAAGTACACTTTCATGACTATTTGTCTTAATACAATTAAGTACACTTTTCAAAAGTCCACTTCGTAAATGTCAAATTTTAAATTTTGCTTTTTAAGTCATTACAGTTTTAATAATATTTTGTCATGTGTTGACTAGCACATGCAAAGTACTTAATTATCATTTTAGCTTGTGTGTGTTATTCAATTTATCTATTTTAAATGTACTATATTCTTCATTAAAAATGCGCAATTACAAATATATTTAAATTAGGGCTGTGCAAAAATGAATTGCGATTAATCGCATCCATAATAAAAGTCTGTGTTTACATAATATATTTGCGTGTGCTGTATATAATTATTTTGTATAAATACCGCATGCATGTATATATTTAAGAATTATTTGCGCTTAAATTCTGTATATATACATAAATACATAATCTATATTATATATATGTAAATATTTTATATATGAATAACACATTTTCTTAAATATATACATGCATGTGTGTGTATTTATATATACAAAATAATTATATACAGCACACACAAATATATTATGTAAACACAGACTTTTATTTTGGATGCGATTAAATGCAACACATACAAGTCTCAATAGAAATGACATTAAATTATATTTTAATTAACCATAAATGCTTGTCAGCACATTCGGAAGTACACTTTATATTTCAAAGAAAAATTACATTTCATTTTGTACTTAAGCCCTACTTAATTAAGGGGGGAAACGCAGTTTATTTTCATTCATTTAATTGCAGTTAGCATGCAATCAAGCATCTGAACACACTGAATTCAGTTTGCACCTAACTATATATTTTAAAAGTAAGTCCTAAATCACAAGAGCATGTTTCACATTGCAATGTTTTCTGCTTCACACTTGATAGTACAAAGCTATTTCTGGCCTTACATGTCTAACAGCAGCTTGCATAGAATATCTGGTGCAAACTAGAATCAAATACATGTTTCCATTCATTTTAAATAAAAAAGAGCTGCCGATACAGCAGAACATTGTGTTGTTTGTTTGCTTGTGTGTGTTTGTGCTTAAAAAGCTCTACTGTACATAAATAACTTTGACCAAACAAAGACTGAAGATGACAACATAACACTACATTCTGGCATACTAGTGACAGAATAACTGACAGACATACCAAATGTTCCAGCTGATAAACTAATTTAACATAATAAACACACATACATACAAAAACCCATTGTAATGAGCTTTAGACTGTCAAGCAAACAACCTCTTCCAAAACAGAAAACCTCAAGTTATCACATCCTAAAAAAGAAACAGTTACACAAGCTCCAAACCACAGTCTATCCATTTTACAACACACACATTTATCACTCATTGTCCTTTCCTGTATTGACAGAACACACACACACACACACACACACACACACACACGCACGCACGCACACACACACACACACACACACACACACACACACACACACACACACACACACACACACACACACACACACACACACACACACACACACACACACACACACACACACACACACATTCTGCTGCAGTCTTGCAGACTTAGCAAGGTGGCCAACTGGAAACCATGGCAACACACTCTAATTGTATTGTGATCAACCTCTCCACGTTAAAACAGAAATTATATTCCATCACACTGTAAAAGATTATTGTAATTTTAACTGTACAAGACTAAAAATGCTACTGTAAGAAATGGTTAATTGGTTAACATGACGTTCCCTTACTGACTGTAATAGATCTAACCGATTTCATGTAATTACAGTAAAATACTGTTGAATATAACATTTTTGGGAGTAAAAAATATCAAATCATCTTAAAATTGACCGTGAAAAGCCATGAACTGACATTTCCAGTGAGACACTTCACACTTTTTTTTATTTTAATAATTGTTTCTTTTTAGTTGTTTTTAATCAGTTATGTCCATTATGGTTTATTTTGTTTTTAAACTAATGCTTTTTGTATCATTTTAATGTCATGTGTGTTAACAAAGTGTTTTGTATTTGTGTTCATAAAACTATGCGCACATGTTACATTTACCCCAGCTTGTAGAAAGCTACACTGTAAAAAAAATGTTTTTACATTTACGGTAAAAAATTGTATATCATTAAGTCATATGTTAATTTACCAACCTATTGAAGTACTATAATCTGTTGTTTTTTTTTCTTTTTAATAGACTGACAATCACCATAAACAAGTGGTGATAAGAAAATCACATGATTAATCAAAGATCATCACAAGCTGCTTTTCCACAAGCTGAGAAGGTAAATATTAATATATAAGGTGCACAGTGTCATTCACACAAACACAAAACACCATCTTTGTAACACACGTGACATTAAAATAGTGCAATAAAGATTGATTTAACAACATTAGCCTATGTAACATAAAACCTGTATGTATAACTAATTAGAAAAAGAAACTTTTGAATTATTTCAATGTAAATACATCAAATGTGAAGTGTCATTCAGGGAATTCTGGGAATGTCAACTTATAGTTTTTGACTAAATTTTACAATGACTTGTTATTTTTCACTTCCAAAAATTAAACTGTACAATTACATTACAGTTTTTTTACAATCACTTTGCTACTATTTTCAGAACCTTGATGTCATTTTTCACAACTCTAGACACAAAACTCAAAAACGGTTATCACATGTAACACAGGCTGTCTAATGTTCAAAACATTGCATTGCGCGTTCACATCTTAAAAGAAATCTTGCACTTGCACAATCATTGGTTCAAAAAACAAATTTACTGTGAAATACCATTGAAACATAACTATAGATCACACACACACAAGCAACCGATAGTTTCACTGTGTCATTGTTCGTACAATCATTAAATATTGTAGAACAAAATAGATGATACAGGTTTCATTATGGTACTACATGTACAGTAAATATACATCTCTGTAAAAGTCCTGCAGTAGTAGAGAGAATATAGATATACACTCTCAGAAAAAAGGGTTCTATATATGTAGTTCTTTACTCAACTGCAAAGGACCTTTTATGCAAAAATAAAATGATGATACAGTAATGACAAAAAAAAAACGAACCCTTTTGGCACAAAGGTTCTTTATAGGCTATTATTCATTCATATATTACATAATTCTGCAATTTTGTAGTTGTACTTAAACTATTGTTTACAGTATTACATGTAAACTGTTGTAGAAACTTACAGTAATATCACATTTTACTGTAATCATGCTGACTTTGAGGATAAAAACTGAAATGGCACTCTTCGTCTGATATTGATTTCAGTAATTACTTTTTTTTTTTACAGTAACCCATATCTTGAATTTTGTGATCATTCACATACATTGCATTTTAGGGGTTCCAAATACTGTATGTATAGTGCTTTAGAATCTTTTACTGTAAGGTTCTATATAGAACCTTTTCTTCTAAGAGTATAGGCCTAGTGGAATCATTGAACAAAGTGTGTGATATATTGATGCAAAACACTACAGTAGGCTACAATCATACTGTAACATAGGTTTATTGGAAACAAAGCAAAAATATATACAGTTTTTTATTTGCTTTGGTACTATTTTCACAAGTAAGGTGTACATTTTCAAAACTCTTAGTGCTAATATCACAACAGATCATCAGAAGTGCACTTTTTTCAAATATTTCATCATGTTTTCAACTGTGTTAATACAATTCACACAATCACAAAGTATCCTTTTCACAACACAAAATAAGTGTTTCATCCTACATTATTGTTTCATTCACAGTATGCCTTTCATAAAGCTCTTACTATCAAACTTATGATTTGCATCTCTTTTTGTTTAGTTTAATACTTTTGTCTATTATTTAATCCAACAGATCTTAATGGCTAATCAATTAATCATTTGGTAAACCTATAGATTTTCATTTCAGCAATATACAGTATATGGATTTTGAGAACTACAGAAAGAAAATGTGTGTTTGTTTGAATATTTAAATTACATGTAACCACACATGATGAATACTCGTTATAGCTAATTGATTTCACATAGTGGTAACCACAATTGGCCACTTTATACTGTAAATGATTGTAGAGGATGTCTTCATTGATCCTTCACTTGATTACATATATGATGGATATTTTGAAATTATAGATTATGTAAATGTTGGGTACTGTAAGTGTATTGCCTAATGTTACAGTAAAACTGTGTAATCTGTCTTTTACAGTATATTACTGTAGCTTATACCATGGTCTGGGTGAATACTCGATTCTGATTGGCTGCAGGGTGTCCGTTAAAAAGTGATAGAGGACACCTAGTAAAGTAGTTCTGGTGAAACTGCCTGTTTACCATTCGAAATTAATAAATAAATGCGCTGCCTACAACAGCTGTGAGTAACCATAGCAACAGGCAGTCACATGCTCTATCATCTAACGTTAGATATTATAGCCTAATACAACAATGAGCGACTTCGTGCTATTTCTTTTAACATTTATGGAGAATATGGCAACTTTGACGACTGGTATGCTGCTGAAGAAAGAAAAAATGTAAATAAAACGGAGAAAATTACACCGCTGCTGCGCTGCTCCATTGAACTCTATTGGTAACGACGTAACTTGCGACCATAACTGTTAGTTGGATAACGATGCTTTCGGGAAACGCACCCCTGAATGAGACCCTGCGGGAGTTTTACGCAGCTGTCCAGACAACCAAGGCAGGAGAAGGCTGAACGTTACAGCGTTTCAAGCCTAAGGAGCCTGAGGCAAATGACCCTCTCTTTGATCTGATTAATTTATTGCCCTCTATAACGTTAAGCGCAAATCGCTGGAGCTCAGGGCTAATTGTTTTTTTTATTGTTGTTTGATTAATTGTTTTATGTGTAATAAAAAAAAAAACTAT